GTATGGCGTTGGTATTTAGGGGGTAACTCACTAAGCCTTCGAGCTTACAGTTTCATATTATTGTTTCAGGTTCAGCGGATGACCGCGAGAAGGCGAAGACGTGACCGTAGACTTCCTCGATTGATGATTATGATTTCTGGGAACTCTGATGTTTAAACTATTTTGAAAACAAATTGTAATAACTGAATGGTTTTAAATGATTTAAAAAGTTTTAAATTGGCTCGACCTTTGTGGAAGTTACAGGTACACTGCCTTTCATGTCTTTATTTGTGTTTGAAGTATTAGGATTAAAAACTAGTGCATTTTACACACATCAACACATATATGAGTTAAGACGACATTTTGGTAAAACTTGGCGGTAGGTACAAGCCTTGAAGTCATGACGAGCTTTTTAGAACATTGCACTTGATGTTTTCAATCAATCTTCATCTTCCTCCCAATTCCAAATTAAACCTACTGATCATCTTTTTCTCACCACGACACCACCATCATCCGATATTATGATCATAAACTCATCTTCCAAAATACACATAGAGAAAAAGAATAGACATGCAGAAGAAGAAGAGAATCACTATTCGTTGTCGTGATTTACACCAGTAAAATAATGTTCATCATTTTTAATCCTAGTACCTATGCTCTTGAATTTTTCATTCAAACTTGCAAATCAGAAAGGAGGAGTGGTCTTGTTTCTTGGTGGTATCCGATTTACACATACGAGAACAAGATACATAGACGCATAAGGGATGTTGAGTTTTCCGATGAAGGTGTATCCAGTGGTGTTTAGGTTAATAGCTATAGAAATTTACATAAATGGTCCATATAGTTTATAAAAGTTAGACAAAACTGCACAAATGGTCCCTGTGGTTAGCTGAAAATTGCCACTTTGGTCCAAAAAACTTTGGACTAGCACCAAAGGTCCAAACTTTTTATTTTGTTGCGAGTTTGGTCCGATTTGCTTTGAACTTTTTTATAAAGACGATTTTGCCCCTTACTATTTAATTTTTCATTTTTCTTTTATTACAACAATTAAAATTAATTAAAAATAAAAGAAAACTAAAATACTCTCTCTCTCTCTCGCTCTCTCTCTCTCTCTCTCTCTCTTCGTTTTAATACCCAGAAGATATAACATCTTCTTCAAAACCCACATTCTACTCCTCACCATTGTTCCCTTCTTCTAGATATGTTTCTCCTTCCAGCCACGACAAATCAGTCACCAACACCACAATCACCCACTATCACTATTCTCATAGTCGATACCATCCGAAAACCCCTATTCTGATCATCTTCTTGACAAAATCGGAACCCTATCACCATCAGATAAGCTTTGGTTCATTCATCAATGGCGTCATTGCCTTAAGGTTTTTCCGACACGAACAAACTAAATAAGCTGCATATCTTCATCTTTCTTTCTTGACAAATTCGACATCCAATAAACGAGGCATGAAGCCGAAAATTGAATCAACCCTAAATCTCTTCAAAAACCCCAAAACTGAATGTTGGTAGTAGTTTCCATAGAAGAAGGTGACGATGGTGGTTGGTGGGGTTTGTTTACTGTAACATCCCAAAATTTAGAAGTATGATTGAAGGAATTAAGTGTAAATTGAAGAAGGTACTCGACGAGTAGGTACGCTTACTCGTCGAGTCGGAGCGGGTTCTGGTCGCGAGTTAAGTGACCAACTCGCCGAGTCGGCAGCTGGACTCGAGGAGTTGGCGCTGAAAAGAGAAAACCCTAATCTTAAGGGTTGCACCCTATTTAAAGGACCATATGTCCTCCCTTCAGCCTCCTTATTGCCCTTGAGAGTCAGTAAACCCTAAAAATCGTGTGAGCTTCCATTGTTAAAGAGATTTGAGCTTTGGAGGAGGAATATTGAGAAGGAAGCTTGAAGATCAAGAGGCTAGCATCAAGGGTTTGGTGTAAATCCAGAATCTACTTCAGCTTGGGCACATTTTGGAGGTAACAAGATGTTACCTTGACTCTATTGCATTTATATTTATTCAAGAATGAGATTTTGGGCCATTTTGGCATGTTAAGGATCTATTTCGGGTTAGGGGTCTAGATCTGAGGTTGCTACTTCAGATCTAGACTTGTCTTGGTCCAGAAACTCACAAAGTATCAGCCCTTGGTTTGTTGGTGAAGCATCCTTGTCTTAAACCTTAGCCCTAGAGTGATTTGGGCTTATAGCTCCTTGTTTCCACGTAAAGTTTGCAACTTTACGTGAGAGTCATGCCCTAGAAGAGTGGATCTACAGTTTGGAGCCCCCGCATGACTCGAAAAGCCTCTGTATGAATAAAGGAATGAAGGGACTCGGCGAGTCTGTTCTTGGACTCGGCGAGTCTGTTGAAGATAGGCATGAACTCGACGAGTTGGAGGAACAACTCGGCGAGTCTGTTGAAGATTGCCGTGGACTCGGCGAGTCTGTTCTTGGACTCGGCGAGTCAGAACGCAAGACCCCAACCTCTTCTGGTTAAGACTCAGATCAACGAGTTGAGTGGTGAGTCAGTGAGTTGGACATTAGGACTCAGAGATTGTTGAACTCGACGAGTCATGGAGTGACTCGGCGAGTCGAGTTGTGATATAAGAGTTTTCTGAAGTTGGGAACTCGGCGAGTCAGCGGGTTGACTCGGCGAGTAGGGTCAATAAGGAAAGTTGACCTTGTCCAGGACTTTGACTTTGACCAGTTTGACCTTCAAGGGTATTATGGTAATTTGGATATTTATGTCAATGGATCATTGATGGCTATAGGTGTTGGAGTTTGGGGCAGTGCTTCGGGATTGTGCTTTCGTGGTTCGGTTCGGTAGTTGCAAGGTGAGTTATCCTCACTATACCCAAGGGTCTAAGGCACCAAGGCCGGCCCTTTGATTTGTTATTTGAGTTAGTTACTGCTGTGATATGTTAGTTAGCATCATGGTAGATAGGATGACTTTATGATGATATGTTCTGTTAGTTGGCATCCTAGTAGATAGGATGGCTATATGATGGTATGCTCTGTTAGATTGGTATTCTGGTAGATTGGATGTGGCTATGCTTAGTGACCTGTAGTTGGTCTGACTGTCTGTATGCTGGTAAGAGATTACCTGTTATATGTGCATGTGTTGAGCAGTAGTAGAGGGTATTCCATCCCGGTAGGATGATAGGGCCCTAGTATGTTGTCTTTGTAGACTGTTATATGGTTATTTGATAGGTGTACATGTTTGCTAGTATGTGGGCATTCCAACCCGATGGTTGAGGGCCAGGAGTATTCCATCCCGGTAGGATGATTGGACTCATAGTAGGTGGGCATTCCAACCTGCTGGTTGAGGGCCTGGGGTATTCCATCCCGAGGGATGATTGGACCCATAGTAGTTACTGTATGTATAGGTGTGTGGGCATTCTAACCTGATGGTTGTGGGCCGAGAGTATTCCATCCCGAGGATGATTGGACTCGTAGTATGTTGGCATTCCAACCCGACGGTTAAGGGCCTGGGGTATTCCAACCTGATGGTTGATTGAACCCATAGTATGCTGTTCATTGCTGTATGTGTATGGTTATGTGTGTATGGGTATTGTGGGGGAACTCACTAAGCTTTCGAGCTTACGGTTTTCAGTTTATTGTTTCAGGTACATCAGGTGATCGTGGCAAGGCAAAGGCGTGATCGTACCGCTCCTCATATTTCATGATTTTGCGATTTGGTTCTGGGGATACTCTGATGTCTAAACTATTTTGAAAACGATTTGTAATAACTTAATGGTTTTTGAATGGGTCAAAATGTTTTAAATTGGTCTGAATATTATGGGTGTTACATTTACCAAAGGAGGTGGGTTACGGTGGTGAACAAACACAACCACCAACAACACCAAATCTCCCCTGAATGATGAACCAGTTATGAGATGATGAACTGGTAACACAGTAACCCACTTCATCTTTTACATCCTCCATCTTCAACATCGTCTTTTGTATCCTATTTGATCTTCCCCATAATCCATAATCCTGATTCTTATTAGGATCCGGAAAATGCCTGGCGAGTTTACCATCATCAGGAAGAATCATGAATAGGGGAAAGAGTAGCGATGGCAACATGTTTTGAACTGATGTAACCCATTTAGATTCACCCCCAAAACCCATCAACGAATTGATAGATTTTGGGGAAACCCAGATGGACCCAACAAAGGAAGAAATCTGATTTCATGGTTTGTGGTTTCAGGTGAAGCAACTGGTGGTGTGGTGTGGGCGATGGAAGTGGTGAGTAATTTTGCAGGTCTCGATGGTTTTGAGGAACGGATGAGCGGGAGCCGTATCTTTGGAGGTTCACCAAAAGAAGTTTGACATGAGATCTGGGTTTTGTTGGAAAAAGCTTGAAATAAGATCTGGTGTTGTTCTGGTTCTGATGGCAAATTCTTGTATCTAATTTGATGTTCTTGATGAATTTTTGAGGAAGAAACCATTAAAGAGCTTTTGTAAAGGTAAAGTAATGAAAAAGGAATGGGCATTAACGAGAGAGAGAGAGAGAGAGAGAGAGAGAGAGAGAGAGAGAGAGAGAGAGAGAGAGAGAGAGAGAGAGAGAGAGAGAGAGAGAGAGAGAGAGAGAGAGAGAGAGAGAGAGAGAGAGAGTATTTTATTTTTCTTTTAGTTTTAATTAATTTTAATTGTTGTAATAAAAAAATGAAAAATTAAATAGTAAGGGGCAAAATCGTCTTTATAAAAAAGTTCAAAGCAAATCGGACCAAACTTGCAACAAAATGAAAAGTTTGGACCTCTGGTGCTAGTCCAAACTTTTTTGGACCAAAGTGACAATTTTCAGCTAACCACAGGGACCATGTGTGCAGTTTTGTCTAAAAATAATAATAAAATATATAAAAAAGGTAAAAATATCATTTTACAACAATTTAACAGCAGTTTTTTGACGCCATGTGTCGGACCGTTTTCGTAATATCTAAAAAAAAAAATAATACTAATAATAAACGGTCCATTTTGATGCAAAATGAAAAGGGAGCCTCATCGTTCATGTACCCAAAAAAAATATAAGAAAAAAGCGAACCATTAACCAAACCAAGGGGAGACAATAGACCATCGTATATCAGAGTCAAACTTCCGTTAGTCGTTTCCAACCCTAGCTAGGGTTTTCAATTTCATCGTCGACAATACATCTGCCAATTAAGTTCGATTCATTTTCTATCCTTCTGTTATTCAGTTAGAGCTTTGTGTCAGAATCCTTTTGGAGGCAAAAGCATGTACGGATCGAGGGGGTAAGTTCTCTCAACAACAAATTTTATCCTTTTTTTGTTATATGAATCAGTTTCAGCTTAGTGGCTTGCGCATATGTTAAGTTTCTTTCAATGAATATCATGGGTTTTTCCGGTTCAATATCCTTGTTATCCCAGTATCTGAATCGGGGTGAATTTGATTGTTCAATTGGCGTTTCCATAGAAATGAAATTCACCATAAAAATTGAAAATAAAGGTGATAGATTTGGGGATTAATCTTGATTTTTCCATTTTTGAGTATTCATGCTGATTAGATTTGGGGATTAATCTTTATCAATTCTTTCCACATGCCACTCTTTCTCTTTCTTTTCAATTCAATTCGATTAACAAATTAAAAATGTAGATTTAACAGCGACTCTCCGCTCCTGTATATATATTTTTACCAGTTCATAAGTTTGAATTGCTGGTTGTTTCTGGTTCTTGCACTTAACAATAGAATGGAATGATATAACGTATGAGAATTTGATATTAGAGGGTTAAACTTATGAGAATTAATAAAGAAAAAAAGTAGTAAAATAGGAAAAGAAACATGGGTCGGGTATGGTTTTATTAAGTGGGGAATGTTTTTTTCTTTTCTCTTTGGGTATGAATAATTGAAGGGCAATGTATGGGAGCGGGGGGTTATCAGATGCATACGAAATCGGCTCAAAAAGACCAAGAATCATGGAATCCAATCCCTACTTTGCAGTTTCCAGTTCCACCGCCTACAGCCACCACCACCCATACAACTACGCCACCACCACCTTCCACCCATCATCTTTTCCAGTGGTCCGCCTGAGAGGTCTCCCATTCAACTGCACAGACACTGACATCTTCAAGTTCTTTTCCGGCCTCGAAATCCTCGATGTGCTATTGGTCAACAAATCCGGCCGGTTTTCCGGCGAGGCCTTTGTGGTGTTCAGCCGCCCCATGCAGGCTGAGATGGCCTTACAGAAAGACCGCCAGAACATGGGGCGGCGATACGTGGAGGTTTTTAAATGCAAGAAACAGGATTACTACAATGCGGTGGCTAGTGAGGTGAGATATGAAGGCGGCGGCGGTGGTGGTGGTTATGCTTATGATGATTATTATGGCCATGGAAGCTCACCACCACCACCATCGAGGTCTTCTAAGAGGTTTCTTCAAGATAAGATGAAGGATGAAATGGAGTATACTGAGATATTGAAGTTAAGAGGGCTGCCGTTTTCTGTGAAGAAATCTGAGATTTTTGAGTTTTTTAAGGATTTTAAGGTTGTGGAAGGGAAAGTGTTTATTGCTTGTAGGCCAGATGGGAAGGCGACAGGGGAAGCTTACGTGGAGTTTGAGACAATTGAGGAAGCTAAGGAAGCTGTTATGGTCAAAGATAAGAAGATGATTGGGTCAAGATATGTCGAGTTGTTTCCTTCTACTCATGATGAAGCTAGAAGAGCTGAGTCTAGGTCAAGGCAGTAATAATTAGTGAAAAGATTGTGTTTTTTTTTTTTTTTTTTTAGGTTTTTTTTTGATGATGTTTTTGTTGGATATTGATGATTTGGTTATATATTGTGGGTATATTTTGGTAATTGGTAGATTTGTTTTAGTTATTGGGCGATGGATATTATGGTTTGCTGAAATGTTTTTGTTTTGTTTTGTTAGATGTTTTGTTTCACATGGATCGTGTGTTGTTGTGTTGTATGATGAAATTAAAACATGGTTGTGTTAAAAGTAAAAAGTTTTTTATATGTATTTGAATGATATTGTTAAAAGTATGTAGATTTAATATAGCATATTAGTGTGATAATAAGAAATAAAATTACAATTTTGTAATATGCGCAAAGCATATACGTGCAAAGCAAGGTTGATCGAAAGATGGACTCCGGATAAAATGTATTTATAACAAAGAATAAGATATCGAATCAATAAAATTTGGTTGTAAAGTTTTGTTTTTCGGTATTTGTTATAACTTGATGTTGTATTTGTTATAACTTGATGTTGGTTAAGATATTGAATTGATAAAATTAATTTTAACTTTTTAAAGAGTTTTCATAAAAAGTAGAATGGATTTGAAATAAAAAAAAGAAACCAAGGTCTTTGTGATTGTATACAACTACACAAGATCACAGTGCTGTATGAGGTTTCTTATGATTTGTGATGTATACAACTAACCATGTATAAAAATAATCCAATCACAACAAGATACTAGTATTAGGGGTGTTTGGGATTACTTTTGAACATTAAAACTCCTTTTTATAAAAGGACTTTTTATAAAATGATTTTTTACAAAAGAAGCTCTTTAAAATGTGTTTGAATTAGCAAAATGACTTTTGTGTTAACTTTTACATGAAAAGTCACAAAAAATCAGGTTTTTGTGACTTTTTGAAAGCCCTTATATTCCTCTATGCAAAAGTCATTTTCAAAAGGATTTTTCTATTACCCAAACATCTTTTGTTTATTTTTTTGACTTTTTGGAAAAGTTAGAACCCAAAAGTCATTCTAAAAACAACCCCAAACACCCCTTTAATATATATTTTGTTTTTTCAAGTCTAATACATGTCCCAAACTCCCGACTTTTAAAATAAAAAATAAAAAAATAAAAAACAAAATCTTGATATGTAATTGTAAAAAGGGGTAATTTCTAGCAATTCACCCAAAGATTGTTAGGAAAATTACAAAAAAGCCCAACCAATTATAAATGTATATGCAGAAAAACCCTTATATTATTTTTATGTTCAGAAAAACTCTAATATTATTATTTACGTTTCAAATAAAACCAAATTGTAAATTTTTAAGAGAAATGACCGGCTAAAAATATGATATGATATACATATACCTTATATTTCTTCGATTGTATGCAAAAAACATGTCAAATCGACATACATTTAGATTACTTTCACTCGATTGTGTTATCTATATGATTGATTTTTCTCTTCTTAACTAATCGTTTTTATCCAAAATTAAAAACAATGTCGTATTAAAAATATAAAAATATAAGAAACATTAGATTTTTAGTTGTCAATTTCTCTTAAAAACCCGTATTTTGGTCTTTTTCGAATGGTAACTATTAATATAAGGGTTTTCTTGAAGATAACAATAATATAAAAGTTTTTGTACGTATACATGTAATTGGTCGGGTCTTTTTTGCATTTTGCCCGATTGTTTGACCCGATTTTGACTGAAAATAAGAAACTAAAGTGGTCGGCCAGCGATAGCCGCCGAGAAAGAATCGTTAATGGCGGAGACGGAATCCTACCCCCCGATCGACCCAACAAACTTTGATCTCATCGTCGTCGGCACCGGCCTGCCTGAATCCATCATCGCCGCCGCAGCCTCCGCAGCCGGAAAAACTGTACTCCATCTTGATCATAACCCCTTCTACGGCTCCCACTACTCTTCCCTTACTCTCCAAGACCTCACATCCTTCCTCCGCTCCCACTCCGAAATCCCTAAAATCAATCCCCCCCAATCGGATGACACCACTACTCTCGATGTTAACCCCCGCCCCCTCTACTCGGACGTCGAGATCTCTTCTTACGATGATTCTCTCGAAGAACATTCCAGGAAGTTCAATTTGGACTTGGCAGGACCTAGGGTTTTGTTCTGTGCTGACAGTGCTGTGAACTTACTCCTCAAGTCATCTGCTAATCAGTATGTTGAGTTTAAGAATATTGATGCGAGCTACATAGGTGATGGAAATGGTAATCTAATGAATGTGCCAGATTCGAAGAGTGCTGTATTCAAGGATAAAACAATGAAGTACAGTGAGAAGAATCAGTTGAATAGTTTCTTTAAGCTGGTGCAGGGACATCTTGAAGCTGTTAAATCTGTTGACGTTGCAGTTGATGATGAGAAGATCATTTCGGATGAAGATTTAGAAAGCCCATTTGTTGTGTTCTTGGACAAGATGAAGTTGCCTCCAAAAATAAAATCGTAATGCGTCTCTCCCTCTATCTTGGTGATCCATGTAAGCATTTTACTTAAACTCTACGAAGTTAATTTGATTACTTCCTTCTCTTTTTCTTTATAGGATCATCCTCTATGCAATAGCCATGGTTGATTATGATCAAGATGCTGGAGAATCCTGTAAAGATATTCTCAAGACAAAAGATGGGATAGATCGTTTAGCCCTTTACCACTCATCAGTTGGAAGGTTTCTTCTCACTCTGCTTGTTGTATCATTTAATTCATCAACATATAATGTATTATTATATGGCAATTTAGGTTTCCAAATGCACTTGGAGCATTGATTTACCCCATCTATGGCCAAGGAGAATTGCCACAAGCCTTTTGCAGACGTGCTGCTGTCAAAGGGTGTCTTTATGTAATTTCTTTAATCTTTGCTCACTGAACTTTCTTCATTCTACAGACTTTGACTCAACTTCTGTTTATTTTACAGGTTTTGAGAATGCCAGTGATATCTGTACATCTGAACAAGGTTTCTACTCTATACAAGAATTAACTATTGTCATCATCATGCAAAACTCAGATCGCTGAGTTATATTATAACATTTGGTTGATGGAATTTGCAGGATAATGGGAATTATAAAGGTGTGAAATTGGTATCTGGGCAGGAATTAACCAGTGATAAACTAGTAATGGATCCATCTTTCACCATAACATCTTCAAATTCTCCTTCAAATGTTTCTAAATTGGCTAGAGGAATATGCATCACAAATAGTGCTTTAAAACCTGATATATCCAGTTGTCTGGTTATATATCCTCCTAGATGTAAGATCTCTATTCTTATTTATTTATGAAAACTTCAAGATTCAATCTGAATAAGATTAATTCTCTCTCTTTAGCTTTATACCCTGATCAGGCTACTTCAATCCGAGTTCTCCAACTTGGGAGCAGTTTAGCTGTTTCTCCTTCTGGGAAGTAAGTTTTTTAAATAAAAATTTAAAATTTTATTACTTCTATTATTGACAGATGCCTTATCTTACTTCATTTTTTACCTTTTAGGTTTGTTTTCTACATTTCAGTTGTATGTGATAATGCCCTTGAAGGAAAAAAGTCTCTACAAGCTGCCATTGATGACCTTTTCTCATTACACTCTGATGAAAGTGAAAGTAAAGAATTGAAGCCCACTTTGCTTTGGAGTGCATTGTATATCCAAGATTTAATCGAGGTGTGTTTTTGTTGTTATTTTTATATTGTTAATTGTTATGCAGTTGATTGAAAGTTTGTTTTGTTTTGATTTTAGGGTTCAGTGGGACCTGTTGTTATGACACCTACTCCAGATGGAAATTTAAACTACAATGATCTTCTTGATGCAACTTCAAAGGTATCTTCATCTTATCATTTTCAGAAAATAGGATATGTGAAAATTAAATAAGCTAGAAAATTTTGATTTTTCTCACTGGGGTTGTATATTTGTGGCATATATAAATGTAACAGCTGTTTAAGAAGTTGTACCCTGATGATGAATTCTTCCCAGAGACATCAAATACAGACTCATCTGATAAACTAGAAGATGATAGTGAAGTTGTTCTAGATTCCTAGCCATGATTTTTTTTTTTTTTTTTGTTCTTTTATGAAATGTTGGAAAAGTAGATACAAAATATAGATGTGATTTTGAGTACCAAAAGGAATGAAATTATTTTTGTCATGTTAAATTTTATATGTTGTATTGTATCACAGTTGATAACTTTTTATTTCCTTGTGGTTGGATTTGTGTTCAAGTAAAAGATTTTGTAATGTTAAATTTTAAAATCTGTTGGCAAAATGTAAATCAAAATTTTTAATTTCAGGATGCTTAAAGATTGTAGCAGGTGAAATATAGTTGTTTAGTCAAAATATAATTTCTTTTGAGATATTAACTCAAACTTAAAAAGTTATTTGACATGTATATTATGTAGTGATATGACCTTCTCAATCGTTATATTCAAAAGTAGATAATCAATGCGATAATATAATCGTTTCGAGTAACCTTAAAACACAAACTATACAACACTATATAAAGAAAATATACAAGGATCAATTTGACAAAATATTCACCTTATCCAACTGTCCATTTAAAAAAGAAAAAAACTTGATACAGACTCAGAGCATTCTACGAAAAAAAAACAGAACATCAATTAAAAATATTGGTGCCGTTGCCAGGACTCGAACCTGGAGCTCCTGTGTTAGAGGAGCCGTAAAGATGAAATCTTTCAGCTGATTGTGCTACAACGGCGTATGTTGATAACACTCGTCCATAATTATACATATCCACTAAAAGTTATAAAGCGGAAACAACGTTTTCATTTTAACCAACGATCAATAAATTGACGTTTTTTTTGGGGGTACAGATGTCGTGTGTTTGTTGTTAAATTTCTTTTGATGAGTTGTCTTTACTCAATTGCTTGACAAATTGTAATCTCAAGAGATGTTATAAACATACAAGAGTATAGCACATTGTTTTTGGCCTTCACTAAGAATGTCATAATAAGCCAAACTTATTGTTACATGTGATTTAAATCACATGGAGTAAGGAGAAACATTATCTATTAGCAAAAGTTTTGTATATTTTTGCTCATTTTAATAAGTACAACGTTTTTTTTTTTTTTTTTTTTTTGTTTGTGATACATAGATTAATAAATTTATGTGTTTTGTATTGAACTTTGTTTGAAACAGATAGTATTATTAAAATTAAACTAAAATAATATAACTGGTATATATCTAAAACGTCATGGATAATTAAGGTATTAAGTTTTCTATAAAAGATAAAATAAATTGAATGTGTTGAAAATTTATACCACTACAAGAAAATTTCGATTTAGCTACGGAAAAATTCCATAGCAAAAACATGAAATTCTGTAGCTAAAGCCAAATAACTACGGAATTTGCTACGTAAATTTTCAATTAGACTCCGTAGCTTTATTTCTTGTAGCAAACTGTTTAGCTACGAAATTATAATTCCGTAGCAATTTTGCTATGATAGTTTCTACGACATCTATCCGTTGCAATTTGAGTTCCATAGCATTTCCGTAGCAAATTCCGTAGCATTTTTCCATAGCAAATTCCGTAGCAATTTTTCCGTAACCAATTCCGTAGCAATGTTTCCGTAGCATATTCCATAACGATTTTTCCGTAGCTAATACCGTAGCGATTTTTCCATAGCCAATTCCGTAACAATTTTTCCATAGCAATTTTCGTAGTAATTTTTCCCTAGCAAATTCTATAGCAATTTTTCCGTCGCTAATTCCGTAGCAATTGTTCCGTAGTTAATTCCGTAGCAATTGTTTCATAGCTAATTCCGTAGAAATTGTTCTGTAGCCAATATTTTTTCTATTGCAAATTCCGTAGCAATTGTTTTGTACCATTATTTTATATAATTCGGTTATTGAATTCGACTATTTATATCAATTTATAAAAATACAATTAATATAAAACCAAAAGTAGTATTTCTATAGAAACTATAATAATATCCAATACATCAAAATGCTACAAATTAAACATAAATTGTTATCTGATACATAATGTTATCATCAAGCAACTTGGAAGGCATAATAAAATCCCACACCAAATTGACCAATCAAATTGTTGTCTGAACCATCATCTTTGCTATTCTGTCAAATACAACCGTTAGTGCAAGTATATTATTTATAATTCTCATAATAAAATATTTATATATGTTAATAAAATCATCTACCTTGTATGGAAATTAGCAATTTTTCATTTAAATTTTCAATTAAGATTCTTAGCTTTGAAGCTCAAAACGGTCTGGTTGGGTCATCGAGCGATGTTCCACGTAAGATAGCTTCCTTCCTAAGCCTCTCTCTTTCTTCAAGTTCTTGTTCTCTTTTCCTCTGCCTTTCAGCTATTTCATCCAACTTCGCCCTCCGTTCAGCCTCCTCTTTCTTGCGCCTTTCAGCCTCTGTAAATCCCAAACAAACAAAATGTTTGGATCAGCAAAAATAGATATTGATTTTTTCAGCTTTACATAAACTACATTTCTAGACCTAAATAATATTTTTATGCAATTTTGGTCCCAAAACAGTTTTATTGCAATTTCAGTCTTTAATGACGCTCTTTTTAACGTATTTGAGGTTTTTGCAACGTTTATTTGTTTAGTATTGCCTATTTTTGCAATGTTAGGCCAAAAAAGCAAATTTGATCCTTATTTGAGGTTCTTGTAACAAGTACGATTAATCTTTTCGTCACAAGTTTCATTTTAGATTAACTACAAAATTTTATTGCGTAGCAAATTTTCATAGCAAAATAACTATGGATTTCAATTTTGTAGCTAACTAGCTACAAATTTTGATTCCGTAGCGAATTTTCTAGCCAAGTAGCTACGAATATGAATTCTATAACAAGTTCCATAACGAACTAGTTACAACCAAAAATTCTGTAGCATATTTTATAGTAAAATAGCTACGGGTTTCAATTTCGTAACAAGTATTCATGATTTAGCTACGGAATGCAATTTCGTAGCTATTTTCGTAGCAAATTAGCTACGACCAACCATTTTGTAGCATATTTCATAGTAGAATAGCGACGGGTCTTGATTCCGTAGAAACTTTACGTAGCTATTTAGGATTTAGCTATGGAATGTAATTTTGTAACCGTTTCCGTAGCATTATAGCTACGACAAGTCATTCCGTAGCATATTCCGTACTAAAATTGCTACGGATTTTGATTCCGTAAAAATTTTCCGTAGCTATTCATGATTTTTCTTGTAGTGTACTATACCGGCGTACATACGCCATTCCTAATATATACTTTAAATACAATCTAACATATTAATTATCGAAGAACTAGGTTATAACCCGTATAGTACACGAGTCTGCAACGTAAAACAACTTTTAAACTTAATACACATAATAATATTTAATAACACAGTCATATCAGAATTTGTGATGTAAATATTCAAAAAACATGAACACGCGTTAAGGATAATCATAAAAAATATGAACACATATCAATTCATGAATTTGATGGAAATTAAACTAACAAAGATGTTATTTACAACAAAATAACAAAATGATTATATTGATGTGAAATTTAAAATAAAAGACAATCGTATGTTTACATACAAACAATCCAGTCATATCATCACGAATAATACCATGGTTGCACATATATTTTTAAGATGTATGTCATAAAACATGTACCATGTAAAAAGGAGCAGTTTCTTATGGTTCTCTATTTTAATCCCGAAGTGCAACGTTAAATAGACAAAAGTCTGTAGGGGTATTTTCGTCTTTTCATCATGACTTGGAAGTAGATAGAGATTTCACATTAAAATATTTACTCTTATCAGGTACCCATATCTCTCCACTACCGAACATATCGCTCAGGATGATTAAAGTTATGTCAAGTACTCTTGCAACTATCACATATGGCAAACATGTAGTGAAGCTGAGCATCGGCTCATTGCCAACAAAATCTTTCAAGTTGGAATTTTAATAGAATACAATATCAATATAACACACAAAGTAAGAAAACTCAAAATTGAAATATAACATGCTCTTCTTGGTCATGCATCTGCAAAGTCACAAAAAGTAATTTAATTTCATCACATTCCATCAAATAAGAAAAGTAAAAAGAGAAAATAAATAGAATGGTTTCATCTTGTCTGATAACTACATCATCCTTATGAAATGGGGAAAGAAATACATTCGGATGTATGGATTGATTCCTAGCCTACAATCTTTAGTACATAGAAGAAAAAATATTCAAAAGCTTGTTGAAGCTGAGTAGAGAGTAGAAAGAAGACATCATTCCACAAATACCCAACTAACTTTCGTCGGTCCATACTCGCCACCTGCAAAAAAAATCACATCTTGCTTTATTTGTTTTACAAAATGAATTCACAGTGTGTGTGTGTATGTATGTGTGTTAAAAAGAGTATCAGAGAGAAAGAGGTTTCACACCATGTAAAAGATAAATTTTAATGAGTTCCACGCAATTTTAGAGGTGTAAAAGGTACAAACCTTATTTTTGGTAATCATAAAGCGATGCTGCGGATGTTGAAACATAACTATGACACGTACATCGGCGATAATCACTTCCTCCACTAAATAAAACTATTTTCTTTATGGTAATTGCATAATTGCAGGGCTTGACATCATGAAGTTGCAGTGTTTTCCAACATGGCTATATGACACATTTATGCTGATATAGTTGCATCTTCAAATGGAAATCAATTACAAATGGAAATACAAAAACAAAAGTCAAAGATAAATATGATGTACAAAAATAATGCAATTATAAAATTTAATTTCTATAGGGAACCATCTGTTTTTTTTTTTCATTTATATACTATATAATTAAAAGTTGCTGTCTCATTTATTCGAACAAATATATAAAACATATATCTAAAGTACTATTGTACAACTTTGGATCCTGTTTGACTGTTTCTTCAACCTCGATGAATTCATCATTAACCATGAAAACTTGAAACCAATAAACCAGATGCCAAACTAAAACATTTAATACAAGTGAAATTTGATTTTAAATTAATCAATTGCTTCAGGAAAAAAAAACACATGGTAGACATAACCAATCAACTCAAAGAAGATTGAATCTATGTAGAAGGGAACACTAACCTGCACCATCAATATTCAACTTGGATCTGCTAGAAAGTTCCTTGTGTGTTTAGCCGGTGGAAAAAATAGAATATTCGATCTACA